GGGAAGCAACATAATGACAGATGATGTGGAAAAGCTTAAGTACTCAATGCTTTTTTTGCGTTGGTCTTCACAGACAAGGTCAGCTCCCAGACTGCTGCACTGGACAACACAGTATGGAGAGGAGGTGAGCAGCCCTCAGCCGTGAAAGAACAGGTTAAGGACTATTTAGAAAACCTGGACATACACAAGTCCATGGGTCCAGATCTAATGCATCCAAGGGTGCTGAGGGAGTTAGCTGATGTGATTGCAGAGGCATTGGCCATCATTGAAAATTCGTGGCGATCAGGGGAGATCCCAGACGATTAGAAAAAGGCAAATATAATGCCCATATTTAAAAAAGGGAAGAAAAAGAACCCAGGGAACTATACACAAGTCAGCCTCACTTCATTCCCCAGCAAAATCATGGAACAGGTACTCAAGGAATCCATTTTGAAGAGGAGAGGAAAGTGATCAGGAACAGTCAACATGGATTCACCAAGGGCAAGTCATGCCTGACCAACCTGATTGTAGAAGGTAAACTGGCTCTGTGGATATGGGGAAAGCAGTGGATGTGATATATATTGACTTTAGCAAAGCTTTGGATACATTCTCACACAGTATTCTTGCTAGCAAATTAAAGAAGTATGGATTGGATGAATGGACTATAAGGTGGATAGAAAGCTTGGCTAGGTTGTTGGGCTCAACTGGTAGTGATCAATGGCTCGATGTCTAGTTGGCAGCCGGTATCAAGCGGAGTTGGTCCTGGGGCCGGTTTTGTTCAACATCTTCATTAATGATGGGATTAACTGTACCTTCAGCAAGTTCGCAGAGGACACTAAGCTGGGGGGAGAGGTAGATAAGTTGGAGGATAGTGATAGGGTCCAGAGTGACCTAAACAAATTGGAGGATTGGGCCAAAAGAAATCTGATGAGGTTCAACAAGGACAAGTGCAGAGTCCTGCACTTAGGAAGGAAGAATCCCAAGCACCGCTACAGACTGGGGACCGACTGGTTAAGCAGCAGTTCTGAAGAAAAGGACCTGGGGATTACAGTGGACGGGAAGCTGGATATGGGTCACCACTGTGCCCTTGTTGCCAAGAAGGCCAACGGCATATTGGGCTGTATTAGTAGGAGCATTGCCAGCAGATTGAGGGAAGCCATTATTCCCCTCTATTCGGCACTGGTGAGGCCAAACCTGGAGTACTGTGTCCAGTTTTGGTCCCCCCACTACAGAAGGGATGTGGACAAATTGGAGAGAGTCCAGTGGAGGGCAACAAAAATTATTAGGGGGCTGGGGCACATGACTTATGAGAAGAGGATGAGGGAACTGGGTTTATTTATTCTGCAGAAGAGAAGAGTGAGGGGATAGAGTGATAGAAGCATTCAACTACCTGAAGGGGGGGTTCCAAAGAGGATGGGGCTACACTGTGCTCAGTGGTGGCAGATGACAGAACAAGAATAAATAGTCTCAAGTTGTAGTGGGGGAAGTCTAGGTTGGATATTAGGAAACACTATTTCACTAGGAGGGTGGTGAAGCATTGGAATGGGTTACCAAGGGAGGTTGTGGAATCTCCATCCTTAGAGGTTTTTATGGCCCATCCTGACAAAGCCCTAGCTGGGATGATTTAGTTGTGGTTGGTCCTGCTTTGAGGAGGGGATTGGACTAGATGACCTCCTGAGGTCTCTTCCAACCCTAATATTCTATGACTCTTGTCACCCTGCGGATATCACGAAGACTGCACGACAGACATTGGTAGACTGTTACCTACCAGTACAAGATTCCTCTGCACAGTAACCTGGCCTGAAACCTAACAGAGATGGCACCTGCTATTCTGATAGATAACTTCCCCCATCCAGAGACAAGGAAAGTACGCTCATACTCATTCTGCTAGATATATTTTTGGCATATAATGCCATTGTTCACAAAATATTCCAGTTCCACCTGCAAGAGACTACGGGTGAACTGAAATAGGTCAGGTTCTCTCCCCCCAAAAATAAACCTGAAGAGTCATTAGAGGTAAGGCTACGATTTAATCACAGGTATTTTTCTGTAAAAGTCATGGACAGGTTATGGGCAAGAAACAAAAAAATCACAGCCCGTGACCTGTCCATGACTTATACTAGAGTGGGCAAACTATGGCCCGCATCCGGTCCATCAGGGCTTTGAATTCGGCCCGCAGGATTGCCACCCCTTGGCGGTGCAGCCCCGAACCACTCCTGGAAGCGAGTGGCACCACGTCCCTGCGGCTCCTGGGGGAGGGAGGGCAGAGGGCTCCGAGTGCTGCCCTGAGCTGCTCCCCCTACCCCCCACAACTCCCATTGGCCGTGGTTCCCCGTTCCCGGCCAATGGGAGCTGGCGAGGGGGGGGGGCGGTGCCTACCAGTGCCTGCCGGCGAGGGCAACATGCAGAGCCCTCTGTGCCCCCTCCTCCAGGGGCCGCAGTGACATGGTGCCAGCCGCTTCCAGGAGTGGCACGGGGTCAGGGCAGGCAGGCAGGGAGTCTGCCCTGGCTCCAGCGCGTGCTGCTGCCACCCCAGAGCCACTCCGGGTAAGCAGCACTGGGCCAGAACCCGCACTCCAAACCCCCGCCACACCCCAACCCCCTGCCCTGAGCCCCTGCCACACCCCTCCTGCACCTGAACCCCAACCCCCTTCCCTGAGCCCCCTCCCGCACTCTGCAACCCCTCCTCTGCCCCAACCCCTTGCCCTGAGCCCCTTCCTGCACACCGCACCCCCTCCCACACCCCGCACTCCCTCCTGCACCCCAAGCCCCTGCCTCAGCCCTACATTCAGGCCCTGCATGCCATTTTCCCACCCAGATATGGGAAGTTTGCCGCCCCTGGCACTTATACCATAAATACCCCAATAGAATCATAGTGGGAGGGAACTGTAAGGGGGAGCCCTGGGGGTACCGCTGCTGGGAGGAAGGCCCAGGCGACCAGCGGCTACTCTGGCCGCCGCCGGGGGAGGGAGCCCTGGGAAGCCAACAGCTGCTCCATCTGCTACTCCTCCAGCCAGTCTGACAGCTAACTCCAGGGTCAGCTGCTTGGGCAGTCCTCCGGTCAGCCACAGTGGCCACTGCAGAAGTCATGGAATCCATGATTTCCATGACCTTTGCAACAAACACGGAGCCTAATAATGGGCATCATCCTCCATCTCTAGACTGCTCACAGGCAGAGTTCCAGAAGGCTCAATCATCTTCCTCCATATTATCCAGAATATGTATGAAGCTCTTGTGAGAGCTAACAATTCAAAAGTGACTAACATGCCAACATTAGGTTGAAGACAACCAATTCTACACCTCACGTCAAACATAAATTATGGAGCACTTATGACAGGTTTCAGAGTAACAGCCGTGTTAGTCTGTATTCGCAAAAAGAAAAGAAGTACTTGTGGCACCTTAGAGACTAACCAATTTATTTGAGCATGAGCTTTCGTGAGCTACAGCTCACTTCATCAGATGCATACCGTGGAAACTGTACTTATGGTGGACCTCACCCACCTAAATCAAGATGCGTCTACACTAGTGAAAAATTGGGACTAGTTAATATAGATCTCTTTTCCTAATCTAGGCAAACCCTACTTGGGGATACATCTAAAATCCATCTGGAAACTCACACTGGAGCAGAGTACAGCAGCTCACTTAGTAAGTGGCATATGTCATTAGGAGACCCTATTGCATTGTATGATTTGCATCAGCTGCCTATTGATTTCCCAGTGTCGTTTAAAGGTAATGGTTTTAATCTAAAAAAGCCCTAAATATCTCAGAACCTACCTAAGTGAAAGGCTGCCTTTGTGCCCATGTAATCCTGTCACAACTACAATCACCAGGACTGAGAGGGTGCTGACAGCAAGGCACAGTCTGTGAGGGGCCACGGACTTTGGCATCCAACATACTCTTTGGTTTAAAACAGTTCAAATCCATTGACCATGAGGGTAAGCTGCAACACACTTCTATTTTCCCCAGCTTTGGGGCAGAAAAGGGTGCACCTTATAAGTCTATCTTCATATCATAGGTGATATGATGATAGACTTATAAGATGTTTGAGGGCTACAGTTTGAGTGCCACTGTAGCAAAAGCATTTTCAACACAGTTCTCCTTTCCTTTCTTGTTCACATTTTTAAAGTATATTAGCATGATCCTGTGACTTGAAGGCGGTCTTCCCCCCCCCCCGACCTGTCCACAATGCAATAGATTTGTGATGTAACATCTAAGCTGCTGTACCAACCTACTGAACAGAGTTTTCAGTCCATTTACAAGAGGTATACGGTATTTCAGTTTTTCCACAGAGACACAGATCTATTTTTCAAGGAATAACACTGAGAAATTTCATATTGCTTAGACAGATCTTACCCTTCATCCATAGCTTACAAACACAACTTTGTTTTACAGAGAAACTGAGTGATTTTATCCATAAAAGTCATTTGTCAAATGTCACAGCTATCCCTCCTCTCTAAGTCATGCTGACCACCTAGTGACACTCCCACAAACGAAGCAGAACTTCACAGCCCTTTTCCTAAAAAGGATGTTAAAGTATTCAAAGTCAGCAATATCTTTAGACACTTGCAAAAGTGAGTTAGTAAAGCAAACAGGAGCTCTAGAACATAGATTTGTTTATATAAATGATTTCCCCGTCGGGTCCTATAAACCTTGAAAATCCCTCACTCCTCTTCCACCAAGAGCTATATATCATCAGTCTTCTGACCAAGAAGAGTTAGATAAAATTCCCTCCCAACACAGTAACATTTCTCCTGAATTAGGCAAAGGAATAGCTTCTCTCTCTACACCACTTACAGCTTGGGGACAAAAAAATGAGCTGGAATCTCAACTTAGGTAGAAGAAACAACTTACAAGATGGCCATGCTAGCTTGTGCAATAGGTTCCCTTTCTCCTTCCCCATTTCACTAGGTTATTCCAAAACACTACCAAGTATACATTTAAAGTGGACTGCATAGTATCAGAGATGATCAAAAACTACATAGTGGGAAACATACAGGAATTCAGTCAACCAAGTAACTTACCATCTTTGTTCAGCCATTGCTTTCTTTGTCTATAGAGGAGGAGTTTGTTGTGGACATATGGCAAAAGAAGCTTGACACACCAACTTTCCACGCCAAGCTTGTTTTCTATCAGCACTATAGGGCTCCGGTTATACCTGGCTTCAGGACAAGGTATTAACCCAATTTCATCTCTTAAAAATAAACACAAGTAAAATATAATTAGACTACTTATTTTCTTTTACCAATTATTACTCTAAACTTAACAGTCTGCCCACTTCTCCCATTCTACTTAGCCCATATTACCCCCCCCCCCCATCCCTCATTTTCTGATTTCTATGTCTTCTACCTCTGCCCACCTTCTTGGTTCTTGAACACACAACCTGGAAACTTCCCAGACATCCCACTTAAATATGCCTTCCTAACTAAATGCCTCATGCAGTAAAATAAACTTCACAAATAAGCTTCTTAAAATCTCTCTGACTCTATGAAGAGGGCAATGCGGTAAATTTTTACCAGCTACATTAAGTAAGAGGCAGTGGTTGCCAATGCGAGGACCTCAGACATCTACAACAGAGCCCATAGCTATTCCCTTATCTTTTAGAAGAAAGTGCTAGGCAGCTCAGATCTTTGAAGCGATCTAGCTAGGGAATTTGATTCAAGATAGAGCTTTGCATCCTAGAGTGTGTAGTCTCCACAGGCTGCATCTCTGTTCCAGTGTATGAAAATTAGATGTGGCCCTTGAGCAAACTTTTGCCAACCTTGCATTGAGGTATATATACTCTTGGTTTCAGCTGGAGACCGAGATATATACTGTATTTATTCATTGGGACAAGATATACTTCATCAACCTTGCAAGCCTGTCATGCAAGTTTACCAGCCCATGCTCAAAAAACCCTATACAACCCTACATGCCCACGCTTTACCATGATGGGGGGGAGGGGAAAAGACACTCCTATTTATTCACTCAACCTCACAGCCACTCCACAAAACAAAAAAAATTCATCCCAGGCAAACAGAATTGCAAGACTGCTTTATACACTGTTTTTAACAACAAACAGGCAGGGCTTGTTCAGCGACGAATAAGCCAATATGAGACATACCAAGTTTAGAATGCTGACCAGCAAATAAATGCGTAAAATATATAGATGGCAGTATAAAGAAATTGATTTTAAATTGAACTATAGTTTAATTTGTTTGTCCAATAACTATACAAGCTACCTCAAGTTAGAAGAATTAGAATGGTCTTTTGGAAAGCAAGTAGACTAGACTGCTATCAATTTAAGCAGCTGAGTGTTACTGTAGATTATAGCAAGTTTTAAATATTAGAAAGGACATCCAGAGTTTGTGCATGTTTACACTACAGCCCTAAATTGATCTATATTAGGTCGACTTAGCCACTGCAGTAATTATTATGTCCATACTATCCTCCTTCTGTCAGTGGTGTGCATCCTCAGCAGGAGCGCTTCCACCAACTGAACAGGGGCAGTGAGAGCACAGCTTCCTGTTGGGAGCCCAACTGCCCACCCAGGCTCTCGGCTCCCTGCTCCCAGCTGGGAGCAGAGGCCAGCCACCCAGGCTTCTTGGCTCTCTGAGCAGCTAGCCTCCAGGCAGGGATGTAGCTGTCTGGCTTGGAGCCATGAAATTGACAAGACAGCCAACAACCACGTTAGCAACATAGTGTGTACACAGAACACAGATACTGCATGGCTCTAACTACATAACTAACTACTACATACTGCGTGGCTCTAACTACATAACTAACTACTAATGGACATAAGCCCTATGCCTCTTGTGGAGGTGGAGTTATTATGCTGATGTAGTACGGCACTTACATCGATGGGAGAAAGGCTGTAGTGTGTACACTGACAAAAGCTGCCTTATGTCGACCTGTTTATTGTAGACCAGGCCTTTGTGATGGACACTTTTAGTATTTATGTTTTTGAAATCAAAATAAATCTGATGCAAATCAGACTACACTGCACACAACTGAGCTGCTGGATACACAATACCCAAAAAGCAGATTCCCCCTCCCTGCCCAAACTGCCCCTGAACTAGAAAGTGGTAAAACTAGCGTCTCTTTTCATTAATCCACTGTATTTGTTTAATTTTGGAAATAGAAGACTTTTTATTCTGTTTTAGTGTTTAAAAGAATACGTGAATGGCTGAGTAATTCCCACCTATCTCAACATGCTGAGTTGAATGCTCTTCACAAATACAATTTTTCATACCCGAAAGACATAGCTTGGTCAACTTAACTTTTTGTAGATTGGGGCTCAGCGTGAAGTGACAGAAACAACTATAAGCAAGGTTGGGAGCTCTTTTTGTTAGAATATCACTAGGTTCCACCATCTCTGGGTTCGCAGCCTATTACTGTCCAATTTTTAAGTTAAGTTCCCTGCCCCACCCCACCTCCAGGAGCCAGACCTGCTACTGGCCGCTTCCGGGGTGCAGTGCAGTGTCAGAACAGGTAGGGTCTAGCCTACCTTAGCCAGGCAGCACTGCTGATGGGACTTTTAACGGCCCGGTCAGTGGTGTTGACCAGAGCCGCCGTGACCCAGTGCCTTACATTCTGCGACCCAGCAGTTTGAAAACCACTGTCCTACATCACCAAGATTGCTGGACAGTGCACCTCTTTGTAAAAACTAAGACCCTAATCTTGCAAACACTTAAGTGTATGCATAATTCTGCTGATGTGAGCAACCACATTTGGCTTCAGTGGAACTACTTGCAAGTAATGTTATACACAAGGTTAAGTGTTCGTATGTCTGAGGCCAAAGATATTTTGCAATACCATTTTACAAGTTATGCAGATGTTCAAAAATAGAACATAATATGCTGAAACAGTCATCCTCATTTTCTTTAGTGAAATATGACTCAGCAAGACAAGTCAAGTCAAGATGAGTCTTAGGTTGCATTTTTAATTACAAGAGAAATTAAAAGTAAGGTTTTTAAAAAAAAAAAAAAAAGGGCAGAAAGATACAAACTCTTCATCCTAATTAAAAACCCAATATGAGAGACAACAACTCAGTTTTACATTCAGCTTAGAACTTTACTTTTTATTGTCTCTTAGTGACTTTAGTGCCCAAGAAGCCTACCTGAATTCTCAAGGGGGTGGGTGTCGACCTACCCAGATTGAAGGGCCCATCCACTCAACCGTGTAAGGCTCAAAGGTTCAAAAAAGAGTACTGGATGGGGTCACAAAGCAGACAACCCTGGACAGTGCCACTGCTCTGTGAAGGAGTTGGTGGACACGGTCCAGAGGAACTCTGCCCAAATGTGTGAAAAGGGTAGGAAAAGAAAGAAGACCTCACAATCACCAATCACTCACCCTGTTGAGTATCACCCATCCATCACCCGGTCGAGGGAGTTATCTGGGCCAGTGCCAAGGTTGAACTCAGGTCTTATGACTTGGTGGGGCCACAGATGGAGTATGCAGAGATGCAAAATAAAATGCAGCCAGAATCTCAGGAGAAGGTTCTGGAGGAGTCAGAAGATGGGCTGCAACCTGGCAGATTGGAGGTAGGCATGTTCCAGGGTCTCCTTCTCATGTCAGAAGGGGTACACGTTGGCAAGGCTTTGGAGCAGAGCACGGAGCAGCTCCGGAGCAGTGGAGCTGCAGGTTTTTGCCTGGAGCTGGAGCAGAACCGGAGCACAGCTCCAAAGCCCTGCGCATTGGGGGCACCTGTGAACCATGTCAGCCATGTGCCCATGTTCCGCTTAAGGAGCCCAGCTTGACAATCTTGGACACAGAAGTCCCTTCTTTATCTACAGAACAGATATAACAGCAGCAGCAGCTTTCCCACACTGTCCCACCAATAAGTATCTACCCTGACCTCCCGGTAGCACACTTAAGCATGCTATGCCAGGTCAGTATCAAAGCACACAAACTTTTACTTCTAACCTACTTTTCTCCATGAAGGAAGTTGGAAACAGCAGCACATTCTTAACAAATCTGGTACCCCTGAAATCAAAGGGAGTTTTGACAGCGTAGAATGTGAAAAGAAGCAAAAGCCCTTCTTTAGGTCGCACACAAACATTGACTGTTTATAGTGCATTAATGTCTCACTATAAATTTTATAAAGAGTTTATGGCTAAATCTAGTTTATGGCTAAATCTAAAAAGCCTTATTTCTGACAGCATCCATATGCTACAGTTTAAAGCCTAGCTACCTGCCAAGGCTGCTAGTCACCTTTATGTAATCCTAAGGATTTCTGTCACCTAGAGGAGAGTTATTGTAGCCGTGCTGGTTCCAGGACATTGGAGAGACAAGGAGCGTGAGGTAGTATCTTTTACTGGACCAACTTCTGTCGGCGAAAGAGACAGGCTTTTGAGCTACACAGAGTTTAAGCCCCAATCCTACTATAAATGCTACATGAGTGGACCCCTGAGCCAGGTAGAATCCATTACAGGATCGGGGCCTCAAGGAGGCACTGTCATTTCAAAATTTAGATTTCTTTAACATTATTTAAGATTAAAAGGAATGTTTCCACGCATTTCCAAAAAAAAAAAAAAAAATCCAGTGGAAGCCTCCCCCCCCCCATACACAAATAAATTCTCCCATATTGTGTTTACAAACAATGTGCAGCACTGGGGTGAAACAGTCCAACAGACCTTGTCAATCCAACAGATTAAAAAACAACAGTGGAAAGATCTATGATTTTTATATTGTGCCTATCATCATGGTATGTCAGAGCCACACACAATCCCAGAACAAAGAGATAATTCTCTACTATCCAAGATGAGAAGGGGGGCGGGGGAACCACCAAAAGAAAATCAAAAAGCATAAAATAGTGAGGCAGAAATTAAATATTTATAATTTGTCCTGTTTCAATAATCAGATTTGTTTTTAATTACTGAGGTTAGACTAATAACTGGTCAGTGTCCCTTTAACCTTACCGACCTCAGGTATGTCGAAATTGATGCCATAAGCCAAGTATACATGACTGCGAAAGAAGTTAACCTAATTAAGGCCGGCGCCTCGGGGAGTCAACAGATCCAGAGGCCGGCCACAGCTGACTTCATCCGTGCGACCTTGGGCGAGACTGGTGAGAAGGGGACTACTGGAATCCGGTCCTTACCCCTCTGGAGCCCACTTTCCCCAGCTGCCAGGCTCGGATCACCTCCCTGGCGGGGGCAGGGAGAGGCGTCAGCAGGGGTGTCTGTGAAGCGCTCAGAGACCCTCGCAGAGAAGACAGCCAGGGGTGCTCGTCCCACACCGGGGCGAGGGGCTGGCGGGAGGGGCGAGTCACCCCCACTTTGCTGAGGGCGCTGTCCCCGGCCGGGGCAGCAGCGGCCCCAGAGCGGAGGGTGCTGCCCCTACCCCGCACGGGACAAGCGGAGACCAACTCGGCGCCGGGGTCTCCGCTTGGCCCCTGTGGGGCTGCCCCGGGGAAGCTGGAGCCCGGCAGCCGCCCCTCTCCCCCGCAGCCCGGCGAGTCCCCGCGCCGCACTCACATGTGGGGGTTCCGCTTGAAGGCGTTGTTAAGGTCCTTCACCACCCGCTGCACCAGCACCGCCACCTCCTCCGGAGACTCGGCCATCTTCGGCCCCCGCCGCCGAGCGAGGCTAGGCGAAAGCGCTTCCGGGTCGGCGGCCTAGCGAGGAGGAACGAGCCGCTCCCTGGCAACGGCGGCCACCCCGGCCGGGCGGCGGCAGCAGCGGGACAGGCCGGCTCGCCGCGCTCAGCCAGGTTACCCCCTCCCCGCGCCCTTCTGCCCCGCGCGTCGTCGCCTCCCGGCTCCAGCGGCCGTAATCCGAGCCACGAGGCTTGAAAAGAGCCGCGGAACCGCCTGGGCTCTTCCGCCAACCGCCCTGAGCCTGTTCCCCCCCCCCCCCCGGGGTGTGCCGAGCGTGTCTGGGGTGGAGCTCGCCCTTGCACGAGCCTGACACCGCAATCGCACAGACAAGGGCATGTGGCGGCTTGACGCGGGGATCCGGAGGAGACGGTTACCTGAGAGGATGAGGCCTTATGGTAGCTTGTTCCGACAATTAAAAACCAAATCCCATGTCTCCTCCGAAGGAGGGGTGCGGCGCACCCTGCAGCCCCTGCCCTGCAAACATCTGTGTGCTTATGTTTGCAAACATGAGTAATCCCATCTAAATCGGTGGGATAGCTCGCGTGGGTACGGTTAATGTGCAGAAGCATAAGCGTTTGCAGCAGGCCCCCTAACTCTTGTAACGCCTGCTTCATGCGTGCTGGTTTTTGTTCCACACGCAGGCTTGTGACTTTGGGTCTTCTTCCCCAAGCTGTTTAAAGGAGGCTTGAGGAGGATCTTAGGTATATAATCGGCAAACATCTTCGTCACTAAACTGAGACCCCTCTGAAAATGCCCCTAAAATTAGTTCAAAATATGACTTGGCTGGTCTATTTTGCTGACTTTAAATGACCCTGATTATGCTTCTAGTTGAGAATTCTTTTAAATAGCTATGCAGCGGTTCTCAGACTGGCCTAGGACTCAAAAGTGTGTCACCACCCTGTTTTAATGGGGTCGCCAGGGTTGGCATTAGACTTGCTGGGGCCAAAGCCCAGTCCCACTGCCCCGGGGCCAAAGAAGCCCAGGGGCTTCAGCCCTGGGTGGCAATGCTGAGGGTACAGTCTCCCCCACCTGGGGCTGAAGATCAGGCTTTGGCTTTCCCCTGTCCCCCCACCTGGGGCAGTGGGGTTCAGGCAGGCTCAGGCTTTAGTTCCCTCTCCCCCACCCCTTTGGGTCCTGTAGTAATTTTTGTTGTCAGAAGGAGGTTGCAATGCAATGAAGTTTGAGAACCTCTGAGCTAGATAAATCTGTCACTTTAAAATCTTTCTTAGGATATCAAATAATATTTGTAATCTTTTTTTTTAAAGTTTGACAATGAAGTTTATTTTCCTATTTTATTCTTAACTTGGAAAATATTAAACATTTTATTGAGAGGTAATAGAAACAAAGGAGTGCCTTTTGTTTACTTCTCTGTGGACTGTAGTGATATAAATTGGATTGCAGATCACCTGATTTTTGTGTCAACGGCTTATATTGGCATCGCAATGACATTTACTCAAGGAAGGAATTCATAGGTTTCTGTAGTAAAAGATATTGAAAATACTAGCAGTTTTATGAAAAAAGAGAAAACCTGTTAATTTTTATAGGATAGAATCTTAATACTGTATATATGCTATGGAAGACATCACCAGAAGGCAACGTTACTGTTGGACCTGTTCTGTGCATGACAAACTCAGAATTTGAACTCTCTTCTTGCTGGCCCTGTCCATTAAATATTAAAGGGGCAGGATTTTCTATGGTGTTTTGTCTCTGTTCTTTTTAAAATTTTTGTACTTCAAAAATATTTTATGATTTTTTTTTTTCTGTTCAAGGCATGGTGTAAGCAACACTAAGCATTACTTTACCCGTGGTCACTTTGCATGCAGTTCCCATACAATCCATCTTCTCTGTAAGTACAATGTTGAAAAATGTTATAAATTGCATGCATGAAAGTAATGTTGAATACCTAAAACATTATAATAAAACATATCCTAAACCTAAACCCTACATTTTAAAAAAGTCTCAAAAATATAAATCATTATCCAAAACACAAACCAGAAAAACCAATTTGGTATACATAGGTAAAAAATATTATCACAAAACATAGCGTGAGTTCTGGGGTTCTTAATAAGTAGTCACAGACAAACTTTCTTTACTCCAAGATTTTCATGGGCAAAAACAATTTCCATAGGCAAACAAAAACCACGCAATAAACAAGCAAACTTACACTACCACAGGCATACCAGATGTCATGTTTCAGCCTACTTTTTATTGCCTCTCCAAAAATCTTAGGCTTAAGTGTTGTCATTTTCTGAATTTGAGAATATGTCATTAATATTAATATAAAAGGCATATAAACTTGCTCTTTAATATAGTTCATTTTCACCTCCTGGTCATTTATCCTCTTGTTGCCTTGAGCTGTGTTGCATTCCAGGTCATCCTTCCGCTACAGGATACAAGTAACTCGTATTTAGAGTTCTTCAGATCCTGAGAGAGAACATTAGGGCCCTGGCATGAATCAGTTTCACACTTGATCTACAATTCTGACTGCATTGTCCACTTGGAGTTGAGATCACTTGTGACTAAATTTAATTCCCTTCCTTTTCTGCTGGTGTTCAATGGTCAGTCCAGTTGCTCACTCAAGTCAGTAACCCATACAGGTCAGGCATACACACAGACACTATGGGCTACCCTATTTTGGAACTCCAAAAATATTCTTAAATGCCAGGACCTGATCATGCAAACACACGTTTAAAGTTAAGCATGTGTGAATAATCCCATTGCCTTCAAGTTAAAGTTAAACAAGTGCATAAGTATTTACAGGACTAAGGCATTAGGTGTAATGTGCACATAGGAGCTTTAACACAGTTTAATATGCTTTACATTTAAAGCTTTGGTTACTGTTGTTTTAAAATAATTAACTGTTTTTTCCCTTCCCTTCAGTTCTTTTTTTGTCATATAAATGAGCAACAGCCATATTAATGTGCACTTGCTCATTTATATGTAAAACTAGCAATTTATACATTTGTTATTCTAATATCCAGTCTAATCCCTAAAACATAAGGACTAAACTGTGCCCCCCGATATACATGTATATCTCTCATGGACTTCAGAGAGAGTTATACTCACTTATCTGAGGGCTAGAACTTGGCTATAAATGAAGATTTTAACCTTAACTCTACACCACAAATCTATTGTATTTTGTTGTCATTTTCCAAAAATTATAACTTACTACTCTTATGTGTCCTGTAATGACTAAAACTGAATGTTATGATAAAGAGGACTAAAGTTTAATTTAATAATTTGAAAGCTTGCAATGTCGTCGTCGTCATCCTCTTCATCCTCACCATCACCACCACCAAGGCGACCTGGTAGACCCACCATATATTCCCCGTCAGAAAAAAAAAGGAGGAGAAAGAGTCTAGAGAGAAAAAGGGCTCAATCAAGGATATGTATAAGAGAACAAATAGGAAGATGGATGTCACTTAGGGAAACGCTTAATGTCTTCTCACATGCTGAAGTTGCCAAGTTTTTGCTAGACTTGTAAGTAGTTCAGATGTCCTATATATTAAATATTGTCATCTAAAGAGAAATGTGAATTTTATTCTGATTGGTTTCTTTTTGATACTTTCATCTTATTTTGTAATATAGATATGACAGTTATGAAAACCGAGATGTGTGCAAGGAATCGGAAGTGAAAATACAGGCAGTGGATGGAAACTCAACATTAAATGCAGAAGAGGATGTGCCAGAGACCTCTTTAACAGTAGGCACCGAAAGGTGACTTAAAATCCTTTTTAAATTTTTTTCTCTCCGTTTTTTCCATGAAATTGTGTAAAAATAAAAAAGAATTGACAGTGAAATAACTCCCATTCATGTGATCATTCCTCTAGGCCAGGGGGTCCCAAACTTAGTTTGGAGCTGGTTCAGGGTAAGCCCCTGGTGGGCCATGAGATGCTTTGTTTACCTGAGCGTCCACAGGTACAAGTCCACTTGCAGCTCCCAGTGGCCACAGTTCACCATTTCCGGCCAATGGGAGCTGCAGGAAGTTGTGGCCTGGCCCGTGCTGCTTCCCGTAGCTCCCATTGGTTGGGAACAGCAAACTGTGGCCACTGGGAGCTGCGAATGGCCGTACCTGTGAACGCTCAGGTAAACAAAGCGTCTCGCAGCTCATTAGGGGCTTACCCTGAACCAGCCCCGAACCAAGTTTTGGAACCCCTGCTCTAGGCCATGGTGCCACCCACCTCGTGGGGCTGCTTTCTTGTGGGCCAAAGCTAGGTTGATGTATATGTGAGTGGTCAGAATTAGGATCTTAGTCCTGCAAGACACTGAGCAACCTAAACTGTAGGATGAGTCCTCTCAATTTCCTTGTAAGCTGAGGGCGCTTACAGGTCTCAGTCCCTAATTTGTACTAATGCAGCCTATGGATAAAGATTCATACAGCTCTGTGAAGATGCAAATAATTACATAAGTACTGAGCATTAGAGTCCTTTTTCTTCTCTCCCACATCTCTAATCTCTCCGTAACTCTCCCTTCTCCATGACTTCCCTAGCAAAATGCCACAGGAGGCCACTCCCTGGAATTCCATCCTTGATCTTAGATAATTAGTCCATTCTGCTGTGTCTTCCAAGAAAGTGGAGGTTGCTCTATCCTTTGCATTAGGCCTCAACTCAGTAGGACATTTTGCGTGAGAAGAAGAGAAGGACTTTGCCTTCTATGACTCATGTAATTCTGGATAATGTGATATTATTAGTCCTGCCTCAGCACAGGGGGATGGGCAAGATGACCTCTTTTGGTCCCTTCCAGACCTACATTTCTATGATATTAGGAATTTTACATAATGTTTTACAAATCTGAGTTAACTATATGGAATTGCATAAATATTCTATATGCTAATTTTAATTTTCAAATAAGACAATGAAATTTAAAGGAGAGGTTATAAGTATACTGGGCAATAGCACATTTACATTCATTGCAAAAGAGATCAGAATAAATTATCATTTTCTCACTTTTCAGTGATTGACCCACCTATCCCTCAAAGTATTTA